CTGCACGGGTGCCTCACAGTTTGCTTCTCTGCTGCAGGCCTGGTGGAGAGTTGAACCCTGGGGAAGATGAGGTGGAGGGTCTGAAGCGCCTGATGACCGAGGTAGCTACCAAACTTTGAGCTTAGTGTCATTGTGCCGGCTGTTTTGATTCTGTGTGCATTAACTTCAAATTTGTTGTTAGATCCTTGGACGGCAGGATGGTGTGAAGCAGGACTGGGTGATCGATGATTGTATTGGTAACTGGTGGCGTCCCAACTTTGAGCCTCCACAGGTCAGTACAAAGAAGATGATCAGAAGGATATTTATGATACTTTAACTAGGGATGCATCAAGCCAACCTTTTCCAGATCTGATCTGATACAGATACCTTGGCTTCAGGTATTAGCCTATACTGAGTACAGAGCCATGTAATTCTTACTGTGAGGAAGAAACTTGGAATAAACATTAGGCTCAATTTAAACACTGCTCTACATCCAAGAATATACATACAGTTGTCAGAAGTTTGCAGTGGTACTGCTACACTGTGCAAAGTGGATGAAATGATGAAGAAAGAGGACCACCTCCAAATTCTTCAACTTCACTGCATATCAACAGATGTATGCATTACAATCACCCCACCCTGGAAGAAGGACAGTTCAACAGAATGACTGAAATTAATATTAGATTCATTTTTATATCAGTCATGTTGGATATTGTCACATCTACATCTTGATGTGAACTAATCTGAAGTTTTTGCCCTGCAGTATCCCTATATTCCAGCTCACATCACTAAACCTAAAGAGCATAAGAAGCTGTTCCTGGTCCAGTTGCAGGAAAAAGGTCAGTGTATCTCAAAATTTCTTTGATGCTTAATTAAAATAAGTAAAGACTTAGATGAGTCTCTTTGGTTGTTTCTGAAATCTGTGTTTGATGTTTGTACAGCACTGTTTGCTGTGCCCAAAAACTATAAACTGGTGGCTGCACCGTTGTTTGAACTGTATGACAACGCTCCTGGATATGGACCGATCATTTCCAGTCTACCACAGCTGCTGAGCAGGTAATGTTCAGAACTTTTGCATGCGTTTGGACAGAAAATAGTAGAACTGCAATGTTTTCGAGTGATGCAGGGATTCCTCAGAGCAGAGGGATGCGCTGTGAAATTACATAGCAGGGTTTCTTTCTGGTCGCTGGCAGTGTGCACAAAGTTTGCACTCCGATCAGAGACATTATCAACACAACAGGTGATAAAACATATAACAGCAAAATGGAAGACTTTTCCTGCAAATTAGACAAGAGATTGATGCTGCAGAAGATCATTATGTATTTGAATTCTTGAGGTAATATATTTATTTTACCAATCCGTGCGCTCTAACGGCTGCATTTTTCTTTATATAACATTGTCTTCCACGCAAAGTGATGTCACATCTGTTTGTGCAAGCTGTGCACAAACAGATGTGACATCAGTGTGATGTGCATATGTCAATTTTTGTAACCTTGCATGTTTGCTATGGGGTGGTTGAAGAGTTGAGTGCATGTTTGTGTTAGTTTTTACCGCTTTTGAATCGCATATCGGTGCAGAAGCTCAGATGTTGCACCAGCTTGAAAAGACTTTCTGGAAAACACTGGGAAAAGGTTTCATCTGCAGCTAAAAACACCCGTGGCCTCAGCGCCAGGATAAATGGCACGGCACTGTTTGTGTACCAAACAACCAATCGGGCGACCATAATGATCCTTTAATGTGTCAGCTGCACATTTGACCTCTCAATCTGTAAGACTTTATGTTGCTTGGTGTGTTTAGTTATGATAGTCTTCTATACCATAATAAATAAGGCTTCAAAGTGCCTATAGTTTATATAACATGGTAAACGGAGCTGAATATTCTCAGTGATAAATGGCCTACAAATGTAACCCATCGATTTTCAAATCTGTGTCCCAATGGCTGGAATTTCCATTTGGTAAAAGGCACGAGTATAAACTTTTATGCATCACTAACTTGACACAAATTCCAGTGACAAAGTGATGCACACAGTTTGTGCTACTGCAACCTTACAGAGGAGCTTCATTAGCTTGTGTTGATGAGGTATGGCTCAGTGGGTTGAACATATGTTTCTTATAGCTACGTCCCAATTCAGCGGCTGCGCCCTTCAAAGGCCGACCAGAGCTGCTGCTAAATGAGGCGGCTTAGCCTCTCGTGTGCTGCTTCTGTTGCCTAGCAACCATGACACTAACAGGTAGTGATGAGCCCACAGCCGGTGGCACACAATGAAACTTGGGATAAGGTGGGCTATGAGGGATGCGCTCAGCATATCCTTGAAAGCCCGGGAAGAGGACACATTTGTAGGTCACTTTCGAGGGAGCCTTCGGATGTGAACGGCCCTCGGTGTCCTGCTGTGATGTAATCGAGCTGGTCTTTCCCTCAATACATGAAATCATCGCGTTATTAGCTGCATTTTATATTTGCTCTTTGTCTAGTATTAAAATTAGTTTGATCTGAAACATGTGACAAATTGGGGGGGGGGGGTTGTGAAGAAATGACGATGGGATTTTAAATCTAAACTGTGAGCATAACTGAGCACGTTAGTTCTAGCCAGGTTAAAAACAGCTACTTCCTTTGTAGTAAACCTTCTGCAATGTACAGATTTGTCCTGGAAAAGATGCTCTTATCATCAAAGTAGCTCTTTTTCAACATGAGTCTAACTGGCATTGATTTTGTAATAATCACTGTTTGTTTTTTGTTTTGTTTTTTTACAGGTTTAACTTCATCTACAACTAACTCAAATGATCAGAAGTACATGCGGCCGTCTCTGTGAGTGCGTCCCGCAGTGTGGAGAAAAGACTTCGCCTCAGCACCATCTTTCACAAAACAAATGCTTGTCATGTCAGGTATATCTGCAGACCGGAGGGGTGTTTATACTGTTTAAGAAGACTATGAAAATGTCTTCTTTTTTTTTTTTTTTTTGTTTCTTTTTAACCTTAAGAGTTGTTGTAGTCTGCAGGTTTGTATTCCAGTGCGTTAAAAATCTGATTTTATGTCCTCTCGAAGGAGGCCAGTGTTTGATTAAACAAGCCGAAACGTTGAGTTTCCTGTTGTTTTAACCTGTAACAATGCCGTGTTTTCTTTTATTTTCTTTTAATAAAGCAGTCTTTTGAGTACGTTTTTTATAAAGTGCAAAGAGCAGCCGTGTCTGTCTGACTTGTTTTTGAAGTTTCAATAATATGCTACATTACATCTGTTGCTGTTCAGAAATACAAATCAAAGACGTTTTGGAGAAGTCAGCAATTTTTGTGATGTAGGCTGAATTAAAAACAACCAAAAACTGGTAAAGTGACAGCAGGTGCCATTAAAATCTGGGATCTAATTTGAGGAGGTCAGACAGAAATGTGTGCATCATTGTGGTTAATGTATGGGGAAAATGCTGTGCAGTCAGTGATGCTCTCCTAGGCTTCCCCACAGCCACATCCAGCTCTGGGCACTCATTTGGATTCAGATCAGGTGACTGACTCAGCCAGTCGAGAATGTTTCTCCACCTCTTCCCCTTCAGCTCTTTGGGTTTTTTTTTTTTTGGTTTTTTTGGGGGGGGTTTTTCCTTTTCCCGCTCTATTTTCAGGATCATGATCCTGCCGAGTGATGAAATGCCTTCCAGTGCCAGTGCCTGAATTCTAATGTGGCTTAATGCAAATCAATGTATAGAAATCTACATCTGTCTTGTTTCTTCCACCAGCAGTGAGATGATGAGCAATGTCTCCCACTAACAACCTGTTGTAGTGCTTCAAAGATTGAAGGTGGGAAGCTTTGGCTCCCTAAATGCTCATCTTCCCATCAACTATGTTTGCATGAAAGAGTGGCTCTCCAGACTCTTTCATGCCTGTCACATGTGCTCTCATCTGTGAAGAGATCAGAGTCCCAGTGGCAGACCTGCAGTTCTGAAGTGCTTTGGTCTACATTTATCAAGCCAGTCCCACTAAAGGACATCAGGCCCTCATACCATCCTCACGGAGGTCTAGTTCTGATAGTTTAGTAAGGTATATGCACAGGTATCTTCCTAAAAGTCATTATCTGGCTCGTGCTCCTTACACAAACCAGCATATACCAGTCCTGCTGGATTGATGCCCCACTGGGGCTCGTGTGTGTGTGTGTTTTTTTTAATAGTGTATTTATTTGATACAAGTGATCAGGATACACGTTTTTCAGGTTGTACTTGACAGAAACGGTGTGTTTGTTCCTTCATTCAGATAATTTCTAATTATTTGCCCACAGCTCAGCTTTCTGATGTTCATGTGACTGCAGACATGAGTAATCATAATAATATAAATGGATGCCATAAAAAGACAGGAGAGGATGTGCAGGTTATAGAGACATGTTTTATAACACATGCACTTTAAAAAACACCAAAAAAAAAAAAAGGAAAATCATTACAATGCATTTTGGGAATACTGTGGATTTTCGACTAGAATTAGACAGCATGAAAAAATCGTAACCACTAAAAAAAGCTTCAAAAACATCTTATACTTAAGGAAATTCCTCACCATAGCTTAAATAAATGGTAAGAGCCAGGAACCACCCACAGTAGTCGATTAATTCGATAACATTTTTATCATGGAAAAACTGACTTTTTGATTTGAGACTTCATTTTCATTATATTTGAAAAATACTGGAAAGTATTGGTCAAGTTTATATTTTGAAAATTAAGTTAGAGTTCTATTCTAATTAGCCCAGATCTCAGCCAACAGGTTTTAATTGAACAGAATATCCTTGTCATAGTCAATAAAGGTTTAGCCCCACAACACAGTTTCTTTTTCTAGGGTTTTTAAACTTGTGGCATGTGTTTGAGATTATGGTTAGCACCAAATTATGTAGTCTGCACCAGATCTGCTTTTAAATAGTCTTAAGCGCTTGAAATAACAGGAACCGGACTTATTTTGTGTGAATGGGTGAACAGTGTGTGAATGGGTGGATGACTGGATGTGTAAAGCGCTTTGGGGTCCTTAGGGACTAGTAAAGCGCTATATAAATACAGGCCATTTATTTTGATTTGTGTACTTACTTCACCTCATCAGGTTTCCTCTTGGAGGTGGCCCTGAAAATGGCTGACCATGTCTTTATACAAGTTGTTCAGCAATACTAGCTATATCTTTAATATGCTTTCTTACCTGGCTGCTGTAATAGATTTATTACCTAATCACCCGAAAGCTAAAGAGGTAAAAATATAATAAAGTAAATCCCTGAAATCAGATCCTAAAAGTTTGGTGTGAATATTATAGTCATGGTTCAGTTCTGCCTGACAGTCTTCACTCAGGGCCAAACTACAAGCGTTAATAACGTCATTTATCCGCGACGCATGGTGCAAGGCCATGTCCACGCGTGTTATGAAAGTTCGTGTCAGGTTTCTGTAATGGCCACCACCAAACGACCACAGGACGAGTGCAGCAGCACAGACGAGAAGAAGAAGAAGAAGAAAAAGAGCGAGAAGGAGAGCCGCGAGGAGCCGGCGGAGCTCTGCGCAGCCGTAGAAGACGAGCAGGTGAAGAGAGCCGTCACGGAGGCATGGAGCCGCAAGACTACCTACAGCCACGGTCAGTGAGAGGACCAAAGTTCAGCTTCAGATATTTATCTGCAGCTGTTAATCAGTCTTCAGAAACCTGCAGCTTTGACGCGGCTGTTATAGGTGTTTTACGGGAATTTGTTGGGAGATCTGCTTCAATCAGGAGCAGCAAATTTGGAATAAACCCTCTCTGACGTTAGAGAGCTACGTGATAGTGGACACTGCAATACATAACAGAAACAGTTCCTACTGTAACATTTTTTTACTATAACCGGAGTGGGGACCTGCATGCCCTCTCCCCATAGTTGTCAAATCAGTATCTTGTAATACAACAGTACGCCCCCTCTCTTCCTGCTTTCCTGTCTAACATTTGCTATAATAACTAATATAGGCAGAAAACATCCCCCCAAATTAAACTTTAATCATTGTTCTGAAACTGTGCCCTCACAGATTGTAAAGACCCCCCAGATAGCAAGACGACAGTGAATTGATGTTGATTTTCCATGTTATGGTCAGGGTTGAAATGCCACTGTTGTAACAACATTGAAATACTGTGGTAAACCGACGGTCTTACTATAGGGACGTTGTAATAACGTTGATTTACCGTTGTTTTTTTGTCATTGATATTTGATCTATTTGTAGTCGACCAGGTGACAAAAACAACGTCGAGAAAATGTCGATTTATAGTTGACCATCATTCCGCGCCGGTCACCATCAAAAAGCCATTGATTTGTAGTTGAGCGTTAAATTGCATTGCAACTGAGCGGGTATAAAGTACCGGAGAAAGAAGATTTATTGTTCTTTTGTTATCAATGATTTCTGGTCTAGTTCACCAGCTTTAAAACACCGTGTCGACGAGCAATTTATGTATAGTTGACCGGGAAATTAAAGCAGCGATCACTTGGACAGTGGCTGTGGTCAGTGTAGTATTTTAAGTTTCTGTCTCTCTTCTAAAGAAAATCTTGCCACGTTTGTTTTTCCCATTTCTTAACTTTGCTGTTTACACAGTTTCCTTTGTGTGTGTGTGTGTGTGTGTGTGTGTGTGTGTGTGTAATTATTGTGCAGGCGATCTGGAGTTGGACTGCCAACCGTTCCCTCACTGCATCTTCAGAAACTTCATCAGCAGCCAAGCCTTTGCAGAAAACCTCAAGAAAGAGCTGCTGGAGCTAAACTTCCATGAAAAATCAAACGACCTGTATAAATTGAAACAGGTTTTTTTTTTTCATTCATCCTCACACTGATTTATTCCAGTGTCTTATCATTTGTTTTTTATTATTTGTTTTTGTTGTCCCCACACAGTCAGATGATCTGAAGAAAAGAACAGAGCCACATATCGCAGGGCTGAGGTAACAAAATAGTTTGAATTCATTTGTGTTATATGTGTGTGTGAGCTGTCAAATGGGCAGAAAGCTTTCATTTATGAAAATCAGAAGCCTTGATTTTTTTCACATTTTATTATACTCGTCTTCTTGTTGTCATATTATTTAAAAACTACGACTGAACTTCCAGCTCTGAGTTGGAGGGGGCAGAGTTTAAGATGTTAAGATTTTCACTGGGAGTGACCCAGATGGGTCCTGACTATAACAGGATTGGAAACCAAGTTACAGAGGCAAGGCTGAGATGGTTTTGGACATGTGCAAAGAGGAGGGGTAGTGGACGTACTGGACGAAGGATGTTGAATAAAGAACTGCCAGGCAAAAGGAAAGGAGGTAGAACATAGAGGAAGTTCACGACTGTAGCAAAGGAAGACATGCAGAAGGTTGCTGTGACAGAAGAGTGTGTTAAAGTGAGATGGAGGCAGATGAAGATAAAAAAAAATCCAAAAAGGAGAATGGCAAAAGCAAAGAATGACAATGAAGAGGACAAAAACAGAGAAGAAGGCAAAGAAGATGAAGACGAAAAAAGAAGAGGATGAAGGCAAGGAAGTGGATGAAAAGAAAAGGGCGTGCTTAAAGGTGAAACACAAGCAATATCAAATCACAACGTGGCGCATAAAATGTTTTGGTGCCTAAAAAAAAAAAAGAAAAAAAAAAAAAAGTGGCTAAAGGAAAATGGGTGAACTGGACTTGGGTACCCAAGGCTTATTGACTCGAGTGCTTTCTGACCCCTCAACTAGAGCAGGGCGATATGACCAAAAATATTTATTTATTTATTTATTTATTAACCTTTATTTAACCAGGAAGATCCCATTGAGATTAAAAACCTCTTTTTCAAGGGAGACCTGGCCAAGATAGGCAGCAGCAGATGTCTCACAGTTACAGAAATTACTCAAACGCAGGCAGCAACAACACACATGCAACAATAAGTGAAAGAATACAAATAAAATAAAAAATAAAATTCAAATAAAAATAAAAAAGTCAGTTAAAATGACAATCAATCTAATTGAAACAGTTACATGTTATGGACTTGGCCTCAAGGAGTCGTAGTTTAGATTTAAAAGCACTTAATGAAATGAATTCAGTCATTTATCACGATATAGATTTGAAAATTTACGATAACGATATAACTGACGATATAATTGACACTAGACAAAATACTTTACAACTCCACAATTTTATTAGTGCAAAAAAAACCCCATCAATGTATTTTCACTTAAACAAGCAGCTGGTTTTTTTACATTAAAGTTGTATAAAAACGTAACAGTGCAAATGCAAATTCCTTGCTGACAGTTTAACCAAAATGCATTTCCAGTGGAAATTGGCCGACATATCCTCAGCATAACCATCTATAATATCCACAAAACTTAAAAAGAGCTTATACACATGCAATACGGTATTATATGTTGAAGCACAGTACGTATCACTCCGCGAGGCTCCTGCCTACGGTAGCCGTAATGCTCCAACAATCCATCAAGCGGTGCGGGTTCATATCTTAGCAAAGTCGCACTAAAACATTTGACAGATTTTCGAGCGCCGTGTATCACATAAAATCGTTTTGAGGTCAGTAAACACAACCAGAATTCATACATAAGGCACACGGGATTATAAGGGGCACTGTCGATTTTCAGAAAAATCAAAGGTTTGATTTTAAGTGTGCCGTATTTACCAAAGAACACGGTAATAACGACGGTCCGCTAGCACGCTCAACCAAAAATAGTGTTTTGTGTATCTGACGGACGCAAGCTAAACCAGTTCCACACCACTGTCGTTGCAGCATTTTTACAAACCAATTCTGGTTCATCCGTTTCATTCAACGATCCGCTTTCACCCTTGTCTCCAACGCCGCCGTGCCTTTTTCTCTATGTGCGTATGAAAACAAAGGCACTGCGCGGTGAGGCACCAAGATGGCGGCTTGAACAGTCGTGTTTTTTCAGGAGCTCCGAAAGACTGCAAAATTTACTAAGTAACTTTATTCTCTTTCCACTCGAACTATAACTATGGATGCCCAAAAGGTTATTAAGAATGCAAAGCTGCAATTTGTGCCGTCAAACCCCATTGTTAAGACGTCGTCGCATGCTAAAGTCAGTGACCATGGCTATGCTAGCACTGAAGCTGCCAACGTGGGCTTAAACAAGCGAGAACGAGGAACAGACTCAGCGCCGCCAACTCCTTCAAAACAACCGCCAGAGGAGAAAAGAACAAAATCTTCAGAGAAGGAAGATGATATCTCCAATAAAACTATTTTTGAAGCCATTATGGGACTTGACAAAAAATTTGAAGCACAACTGGAGGATATCAAGGAACAAAACAAACAAAGTGCAGCTATGGTTGCCAGCTTGGCTAAGGCTGTAGAGTTTAATGCTGCAGAGATAGTTGATTGCAAACTGAAAGTTGTTAAACTGGCAAATGCGAATGAACAGCTGCTTAATAAAGAAAATGAAGACTTGAAAAGAAGAGTGAGAGAACAAGAGCGCTACCGAATGAGGTGGTGCCTAAAACTGAAAGGGGTGAAGGAAGACAAAGATGAAAACATTAGAGTGAAGGTTTTGCAAACGCTTCAGAAGATTGCCCCTGACTTGAACTTAGAAGAGGCCGTTGATATTGTCCACCGCTTAGGGAAACGAGTTGATGGCAGAAACAGAAACATCATTATTCTATTTACACAGAGGCGAATTAAAGAAGAATTGTGGAGGCGCACCAAAGACTCTTCAACCTGCAAGCAAGAAGGCATCAGCTTCGCGGAGATGTTGCCGCAGGAGGACATACAAGATCGACAGCGCCTATGGCCTCTGGTGGAGGAAGCAAGACGTGCGGGTAAACGGGCCTACTTTCGTGGTCCACATGCCTTCATTGATGGACGCAAAGTTGAGGAAAGACAGGAGAACTAAAAATGACAAAAACTGAAATAGTGGAAACTTGTTCGCGGTCTGAGGAGCTCAGCATTTAGTACTTTTTTTTTTCTTCTTTTTCTCACGTGGTGAGTGATATTCTGTCTATAGTTCATGTTGAATGTTAACATTTGTTTTGGTTCTTTAAATGTTAGGGGTTTAAGAGAATCTGTTAAAAGAAAAGCCTTATTTTTGTACTGCAAAGGTAAAAAATCAAACTGTATTTTTCTACAAGAGACTCATTCATCTGATAGTGATGTATCTTTTTGGTCAAACCAATGGGGTAGCAAAATCCTGTTTAGCCATGGCTCAATGAGGTCGGGGGGTGTAGCAATTTTATTCAATAACTTTCCCGGGGATCTTGTAATACAACGAACTGACTTGAATGGTCATTGGTTGATTGCTGTAATGAGAGTTGAAAGTTTGTTTTTCATTTTAGTCAACGTTTATGGATATAACAATGAAAGTCAGAATAAAATTATGTTAGAAGATATAACTTCAAATATTTTTGAACTTAAAGGTCGATACCCTACAGAATACATTTTAATGGGTGGTGATTGGAATATGACTCCTGATGAATGGACTGATAGATGGCCCTCAAGGACAGGTAGACCACAAAAAAATAACCTAATTATAGAATTTTTGATTAATAACAACTTGACAGATATTTGGAGAGTAAGAAATCCAGAAATTAAGAGCTTTTCCTGGTTTAAACCAAATGGAGCTTGTAAATCTAGAATAGACTATTGGCTAGGAAGTGACATCATTCTTAGCCACACTGTAAAAGTTGCAATGTCAAATGCACCTCTATCTGATCATTGCTTTATTGAACTGTGCTTAGAATCGGAAATTAGACAATCAAATAAAAGAACTTATTGGAAGTTCAATGCCAAACTTTTACAAAATGAAGACTACTGCAACATAGTCAAAAAAATTATAAAAGATATTATGGCTGATCATCTAATTGTAGGATATATCAATAAATGGGAATTCATTAAATTCAAAATTAGAGAATTTAGTATTCAATTCAGTAAAAACATAAGTCAAAAGCAAAGAGAATATGAATGTAAATTATTCCAAGAAATTACTTATTGCTGTAGTAAAGATGATCTAAATACCCAAGAAAGGAGTAAACTTATGGAGTTGCAAACTAAATTAGATCAGCTCTACCTAAATAAAGCAGAAGGAGCTTTTGTGCGTTCACGGGCCAAGTGGATTGAGGAGGGGGAAAGAAATTCTTCATATTTTTTTAATTTAGAAAAGAGCAGACAGAAAAGAAATTTTATATCTTCTCTGTTAATTGATGGCATTGAATGTGACGACCCTAAAATTTTGGAGAATGAAACTTATACATTCTATTCCAATTTATACTCCTCACAGTTCTCCCAAGCAGATTGTGATGTCTTTTTTGATCAAATAGATAATCTGATCCCTAAAATTGATGAATCATTTAAGGAATTATGTGAATCTGACTTCAGAATTGAAGAGTTAGATGCATCTGTTAAGAAAATGGCACTTAATAAATCCCCTGGTCCAGATGGGCTTACAGTTAATTTCTTCCAATTTTTTTGGGAAGACTTACGGGAAATTTTATTCAAAGCTATACTGGCCAGTATTGAAAAGGGAGAATTGATGTCTAGCATGAAACAAGGATTAATTACATTAATTCCTAAACCAAACAAAGATAAACGACAATTGGATAACTTAAGGCCCATAACTTTATTAAATACAGATTATAAAATTTTCTCTAGCTCAGTTGCAACAAGGCTCAAACAAGGGGTTTCAAGTATAATTAGTGAGACACAATCAGGGTTTTTGAAAGACAGGAACATTCATAATAATATCAGATTGGTTTTAGACTTACTGGACTACAATGATCTGATTAGTGATGACAGTTTTATTCTTTTCTTGGACTTTTATAAAGCTTTCGATTCAGTAGAACATCCTTTTATTTTAGAAACACTACTCGATTTGGATTTGGGGATAAATTTAGGAAGATAATAGATATACTGTATAATGATATAAATAGCTCTGTGTCATTAGGCTATGGCACTGGTAAAAGATTTAGCGTCAAAAGAGGAATTAGGCAAGGGTGTGGAAGCTCTCCGTTGTTGTTCATAATGGTTGTGGAGATGCTCGCAATTCTAATTAAAAACAGCAGCGTTGCCGGAATTGAGATTATGGACAATTCTTTAATAATTAGTCAACTTGCGGATGACACTACTCTTTTCTTAAAAAATGAACATCAGATTCCCCTGGTAAAACAAATAATCACTACATTCTCAAAAGCTTCAGGCTTAAAGTTAAATTTAAATAAATGTGAATTATTGGCATTAAAGGAGTGTAATTCACAATTACTGTACGATATAAAGGTGAAGAGGGAGGTAAAATATTTGGGCATCACAATTTCAAAAGATCACAAAGTCTTAGAAAAAGTAAATATTTTAGATAATGTTGACAAATGTAAGACAATCCTAAATAAGTGGTTACAAAGAGACATCACAATTTTTGGAAGAATATTATTAACCAAAATGGATAGTTTATCTAGATTTATATATCCAGCTTACTCTCTATCAATATCGAATAAAGTTATTAAAACAATTAATAGCTTGAATTTTAATTTTATTTGGAGGAATAAGTGCCATTATATATCTAAAGATGATTTGGTTAAACCATACATTGAAGGCGGTGGAAACGCAATTGATTTTGACATAATGAATGGTGTTTTGAAACTTAAATGGTTAAAATCCTTCCTAAATAATCCACACTCCATTTGGTTTTTTATACCAAGTAAGGTCTTTAACACACTAGGGGGTATCGACTTTCTCCTAAAGTGTGACTTTGAAATTACTAAGCTACCTGCTAAACTCTCTGAATTCCATAAACAGGTCCTTCTTTATTGGAAAATGTTATTTAAACATAATTTCACTCCACATAATAGCCCAATTTGGAACAATAGATATATACTGATGAACAGAAAATCTATTTTTATTCAAGATTGGTTATCAAAAGGTGTTTGGGCAATTGCCCATTTTGTAGATGAGGAAGGACATGTTCTAGGACATCAAGATTTTTGCCAAAAGTTTAATATCCAATGTTCTAAAAGTAAATTTAATCGGGTTATAAAATCCATTCCATTGTCACTTAAAAACATAGTTGTAAATGATATAATATATTCTGACATCTCCCCCAAGTTAAGGCAATTATATATAGATGGTATTCGATTTTGTGATGTTAAATGCAACAATAAGTTTCTTAGATCTTCATTAAGGAGTCTTTATTCTCCAAATTTACTTAGACGTAATTACATATTAAAAGATTTCCAAAGGGAAGAAATTGAAAAAATAAGAACTGATTATATCACCTTCCCTATCCCTCCTAAAGGGAAAGAAGTCCAATTTAAAATCTTGAATAAAATTTACCCGACAAATAGACTCCTTAGTGATAGATTCAAAATAGAAACGGGTAATTGTGTATTTTGTGAAACAGAAGAGGAGGATTTGGACCATCTATTCTTTTTGTGCAATTTTATACAAATATTTTGGTTGGATTTTCATACCTGGCTTTATTCCAGTGGGATTCAAATTACCCCATTTACCTTAAATATGATAATGTTTGGAGTGTTTTTGAAAGAAAAGAAAGCTAATTATGGTGTTAATGTGTTATTAATCTTGTGTAAGTATTTTATACATAAATGTCGCTTTTTTAAGATTAAACCAACACTGGCTCACTGGAAAAACGACCTAAACCTGTTGGTTAAATCTTTGACTTTAGTTAAAAAGAAAAAGGCTGCTTTTTTTGTTTCCTTTGTAGAAGATTTTGATTTAGTGAGTTAATAATCTGTTAATTTATGTGACCCCATCTTTATATTTTATTTTCACTATATATGAAAGTTGCTAATATGTAAGAAATGTTTATTCTCTGAATCTGTAATATATGGTGCATTTTGTTTGTATGTTTATATTACTAATAAAATTAAAAAAAAAACAAAAAAAAAAACAAAGGCACTGCGCATGCGCGTTTTACCCATATTCTATCGCGATATTTCATTTTCTTGTCGTTGCCCAACATTATCCCGGTATTACCGTGAACGGTATGATATGGCCCAGCCCTACCCTCAACCTTAATACTGCTCGCTATAAAAATGTATCCGTACGCACAGAGCATCCTGATCGATGGTGGCCTCACCTCGTGTCAGAGGTCTTGTGGAATAAAGGCCTCTGACAGGTCAGAGTTGTGTTTGGTGGCACAAAGCAGATGTGGACAAAATTCATCAGGTAGTTTTAAGTCACAGATCCTTTTCACAGCTGGTGTTTTGAGCTTCAAAGCAAGAAAATTAATGAGGACTTCATTAAGTGAGCCACCTTCAGGGTCCTGGCATTGTTCATGTTGGCTCGCAGATTTACCGAGACTAAAAGAGGTACTTTTGTATTTGTATCCAGCTCCATATTGATATTGTTGGACTGTTGATGGAAGGATGAGAAACATTCTGAAGTTTATTTATCAGGTCCAGCAGGTGGAGCCAGAGATTACAGATGCCCTCGTAATTGGTATATTACATTTAGTGATGATGACTGAAACGTCTTGCGAATATTTGGACTGTTTGTTAAAGCAGGAAGGTGGTTTATTCTTTAGTTTCTACTACAGAGCTGAGGCTGGCAGTGAACACAAGGCTGTAAGTCATCGGAGCAGAGTAGAACTCAGGGCCAAACTACAAGCCAAAATAGCACAATCCAGTGTAAACCTTTCTTCTTTGAGAAATAACGTGCTGCTTTCTTCTTATAATTATGATAAGCTGTCTACAGTGAATCACTTACATGTGCTGGATACATATTTGTGAGTATATGCGCTTTACCTGCTGAAGAAGTGCAGCACTGGGGAATAAATACAGTAATTACACAGTAACGGCCTCCCTCTGTGGTCATCTATTATTTATGTCTTAACAAAATGTCACAGAGGGCTTTCAGGTAGCTAAACAATCTGTCCGTGTGGTGAGAGTTACAAATTTTAAACGGCGTTTAAAGGTCACGGCCAGGTTTTCACAGTGTGCCCGTTTCTGTACCACTGTCTGTAGGGCAGCACTGTTTGGGCGTTTCCGGTCCTGGCTTGGGGAGGTTCTGGGGGTTGAGCTGGACCCCACTGTGGATATTTCTTGTGCCAAATATGAATATACAGGTGAGATTAGCTCAGTAGGAAAACTGTTACATTGTGAGCTTCTGTTTTAGTTATTGTCTGTCTGTCTTCTTTCTAGATGTTCTTTTGTGCCACGATGATGAGTTGGAGGGGAGGCGTGTTGCGTTCATTTTGTATCTTGTGCCCCCGTGGCAGAGCAGCGACGGGGGAACCCTCGATCTTTACACAACAGACAGTGAGTGTCCCACTGTGTTTGCGTGTGCGCGTGCGTGTATTCTCTTACACAACAGAAGTGTGTATTTCATTTTTGTCGTCAGGTAATTTGCAGCCACAGAGCATAGTGAAGCCACTCGTACCCTCCTGGAACACACTCGTGCTCTTTGAAGTTTCTCCAGTTTCCTTTCACCAAGTAAGAATAAATATTCTTGTTTTTACTATTTCTTTGAAAAGGCTGCGTTTGGAAATCACACTGTTTGGGGTTTCTTTTTTCTTCAGGTGTCTGAAGTTTTGTCGCAGGACAAATGTCGGCTGTCTCTGAGCGGCTGGTTTCACGGACCTTCTCTGGAACGTCCTCCTCGCCACACAGTGGCTCCCGTCCAGAGGAATCCGCACTTACCGAGAGATGTGGGTGCTATCTTGTGGGAATATCTCAAAAAATTTCGGAAGAAGAATTTTATACGTTTTGTTTGATAAATATAACATATAATTTGCATGATTCTCAATCAATTTACAGCTGGAGGCATCTGTTAGCTTAGCTCAGCATAAAGACTAAGAGAAACCCATCTGGTGCCAACAGTCATGCCATGTTCAAAGTCCTTTGAATCACCACTTTTTGACTACTCGGATTCTTAGTTTGAAATTCAGCAGGTTGTCTTTGCCATGTTTACATGCCTCCATTGACTGGCATTAACAAGCAGTTGAGCTGGTGTACCTAGTGGCTTGTGAGTGTACATTATAGTGTTATGAGAGCTCTGTATGCAAATCTAGCTATCTCCAGGCTCCAGTGTAAGCTTTTTTTAATCAGTTGTGAGCATCAGTTGATTTCTTATAATGTCAGATTGTTCCTCTCTTGGACGGCCTCCTTGCCAGCTCATGTGTTTGCTGTTTGTGTTCGTGGCAGGAAACAGTGCTGCTGGAGTGGATCAATCCCATCTATTTGGACATTTCTTATCAAGAGCAGATTCAGGAGAACTTTGAAGACAGCTCTGAAATTCAGCTCAAAGGATTTCTCAAGGTAACTTCTAAAAACTCTTTTCCACCGACGCAGTACTGCAGCTTTTTTATTCAGAACGGTTTTCGGACATTGCACCATAGAAATGCAATTCCCAAAGCTGGAAATTCTTATTCACAGATGATTTGCAGATGAAGCACGCATGTTTTTTTTTTCCACACAGAAAGTACCTCAGCTTTAGCTACACAACACTGAGTAATGAGGTAATTTCCAAGTATCCAGTGTGCACTGCTTTTCAGAAAGGCATCAGAGCAGAGCTGAAACCGGTGTCGTGTCTTTCCCGTGTTCATTTGTTTCCGCTGAGTGATTATGCGTTTGTCTTCAGGAGGAGAAGTTCAAAGAGGTGAGTGAAGCACTTCGGCTCTCTCAGATTGAGTGGAAGAAGAGAGGTCCACCCAATAAGAGGTGAGTATGTTTGACTCTTTAAAGTAGCACTCTGTATTTAAGATTGGCTAATAATCTGTGTGCTTTCAGGCGCTATGAAGCAGCTGCTCTGGACTCGCTGCCTCAGTGTGTGAGTGCATGCTGGGAGCTGCTTCATTCAGAAGCGTTCTTCCTGCTCCTCTCCAACTTCACTGGCCTTCGATTGCACTATCTTTGCCCGGCTGACGACGAAGAGAATGGCGATGAAGAGAAGGATAAAAAGCAGCAAGATGATGGAGAAGCCACGGGGTCGTCAAATGAACCATCCTCAGCAGATGTGAGCAGAGAGAAAGGTGTGCATCGCTGTGAGTGCTTTCATTCAGCCGCCGCCGCTGCTGCTGTTCGTGTGTTTTGACCTCTGTGTATTTTCAGAGCCGAGCACCCCTTTGTGCTGTGGGGAAGTACGTCGATGGTCTCATGGCGGCTACACCCTGTTGCACGATGGAGAGGCAGCGCGGGCAGAATATGCGCTGGACCTCGTTTTGCCTTTCGGCTGTGCCGGTGAGTTCACACCCAGGAGAAGAACGAACTGTCGGACACCAATGTGACTGTACTGAACTTTTAATTCTCTCTCATAGGCTGGCAGTCAGAGTTTGGCGGCTTCACATGTTATGTCGCTAATGAAGAGGATGAGGAGGTGAGTGCTGATTAATGTGACATGTAATCGCACATGTGTGGATGTTGCTTCGACAGTCATCATCATCGCTTTCTTTCTTCACAGCTTCTGACTGTCTACCCAGAGGACAATTCCCTCGCACTCGTCTACAGAGACAAAGAGACACTCAAGTTTGTCAAACACGTCAACCACAAAAGCACCTCCGAACCTGATGGCAGCTCCACCTGCAGAGAGTTTTATGACTTTTCTTTTGTCTACTATGAATAAATATGTATATAAATACATAAGAGTGTGTGTGTGTGTGGGGGGGGGGCATTTACACTGGCTGATGAACTCCACTCACTCCTCTCACTTGTAAATATATAGGGATGGAGTCTTGGTTGGATCTAACCACCAATGATGGGCAACATGCTGTGTAATGCCAACCAAAGCTACTTTGACTTGTGTGATGTTACTGACACTTCAGTTTTTTAGTTATTCCAAGAAGGGGGAATTTTTTTTAAAAATGTGTATTTTTAGGCTTTTTAGTCACTATTGCAATAGGACAGTGGAGAGAGGACAGAAAAGCTGGGAAAAAGACACGCACAAAACAACCTTGGTGTACATTTTAACCCAGGCCTCTGTAATAGTCTTATGGTATAGGGGTCACCTTAAAAAGTTACTTATATTATTTGTTAAAGTTGTAGAAATCTGGAAAAGTATGAAAATGGCTCTCCTTGCTTTATTCAGAGCCAGTCCCCAGCATAGCGTATGCACCTGGGCTGCATTCAGGCCTAACAAAACTTGACAAAAACGGTTTTTTTTTAAATAGAAAAGCCGTAGTTATGATGGCGCTACTGCGTCTGAAAAGTAATGCCAACTTGTGTCTCAAACCTGCATTCTTTCTAATGGTCAGCAGGGGGCGACTCCTCTGCTTCCAAGAAGACTTCAGGTTGTATTCACATTTATGAGAAAAAGACCCTCGCCCCCCCTCACTCTGTGACCTCAGTAAACGCTTTTATGGGCTCAGTTGCTATTTTCAGGTCATACAGAATGAAACATGAAGTTCATCTTGTGAATTATGGTCATTATTAGAGTTATAAAGGAGCATAATCCAGCAAGCATACCATGCTAGCTGGCAGGGTATTAACAAGCATACCAACTTCTTAATCACAAGTTGTGATTGTGCAGTAACCCTCATTTTAACAGTTAAATCCACCATGTGCTTGTTTCAAAAATGGTTCAAAAATAAGACGGCGACTGCGAAAATGCTCATGTTGAGGCTTCAGGACGGGAATTCACAAAACCAACACATGGCATCAGAGTGCCTTTATCAATCTTTTATACTGTTTATGTATCCATGCTGTTATACTTGTCAAGCATGCGGGAGCTGATTCATCTTATTCTTCTTTTTGTGGACATCCAACATTTAGGCGTGTTACCTTCACCTGACTGGCTAGAGTAAATGTACAAGAATCCAAATTGTAAATTTCCTGACAGAGAATCTTTGGGGGCTGTTCACTTTTGTGTGTTACCTTTTTAATATGGTAGGGTTTAAATAGACTTCTGACACACACAAAAAAATGAGATAAAACATTTATGAAAGCTCGTTGCCCAGCGTTGTGCATTGCTTGAGAAAAACATTTTAAAAACATGACTAAAAATAAACTTTTCACAACGTTCTTAGATTAACTGTGTCGATTATGTGGTCTTATCTGATCTTATTATCTGTGGCCTGCCTGTGTCTGGAAGAGGAGTACCACTCTGGTTCCTTAGAACTTGCTAAAAGGGTTATTTTAGATTATTGTTTTTTTTACCCTAATGATGCCAAAAAAGCCACCATTTATTTACAACACAGGAAATCATTCCTGTACAACTCCTCCATCTAATACACAGTACACACTGCAATAGTTACACCCTTTTGCACATGCTCTACAGTAAAATAACAAATGACAAAGTTTCACAGGTTACAGTTAAATGTCAATCATATACATTTCACCTCTGTAATATTCTTGATATTTATAATTGAGCAATTTTGTATATACTCGTGCTATTTGTAAACTTTGTAATATATTGTATTATACAATTAGTGTAATCTGTTACTATTATTGTCTTGGAGCAACTGTAAACCACATAGTTTCCTTAGGGATTATTAAAGTATTCTGATTCTGATTATCATTTCTTTAACTAGCCTTCAGGAATAGTTCTCCAGGCTTTTTGATGGACTTTCAAAGCCATTTTGTTTGATCCCACACTGCTTCAATTCACTGCTTCAAGGTTGAGGTTTGGGCTCTGTGGAAGCCAGTCCATTACTGATAGTGTTCCACTGTGTGTTTTCTATACACGTATGCTTTTACTGCATCAGCAGTGTGTTCGGGATCATGCAGAAAAATGAAGATGCTGCCAATCAGATGTAATGTGTGCCACAAGGCTCAGTTTGCAGGCCTTGATTGTTTTTGTTATACCTGCTCTCTCTTCAGCACATTTTGAATGCTTTTAAGGACATTCCTTATCACTGTTATGCAGATGACATTCTGTTATATACCTCTTAAGCCCCAATGTGTTTCTAAGTTACAGAGATCGCATAGGTGCATAGACTCTTTTAGAAGCTTGATGACTGACAATTTTATCCAACTTATTGAAGAAAAACATGAATCCTTGTTTGTGCCCCTGGCAGATTTGTGTCTAAAATATTGGAAACTATGCCACATTTATTAAATCTTTTATTAGGAACCTTGGGGTAACTTTTGATGCAGCTTTCACTTTAGATGTTCACATTAAATCTCTGGTTCACTCTTCAATAGTGTCATGCTCTAAGTTGGAAATTAATATCTTGCATTTATATCATTGCATCTGAATGATAGGAATTCCTTGTTCTGTTGGTTTAACAAAGCTTCTTTGTACGCCACTGCAAAAGTGTTAGAAGTACCGACACGTCACACTGTTACCAATTTAGTTATGTGTTGAGTGTTTCATGGACAAACATTAGTCTAGATCAGTAAACTTCCATACATCCATACATCTTTAGCAAATTCTAGACATCATGTGATCAGGGTGAGTACTAAAGGAGACAGAGTTTTTGCAGCAGTGGTGCTCAGACTCTCCCACTGAGCCTGAGATCCTCCAGACTCTGTGGTATTCATTAAAAAGCAGTTAAAAACTCACTTTTTTAGACTTGCTGTAACTTGGTTACATTTTTGTCTTCATGTTTTGATTATTTTGTTGTTATATTTATCTTAAAATAATATTTTTCTTACTATACAAAATATAATGAGCTGTTGGCTCAAGACTTTTGCACAGGACTATATACATTCAGATTTAGTTGTGTTAGGCTAAAAGTCCCCAAAAACAAATATATTTAAATAAAATAACATTTAAAAGCTGAAGCCAGCAGATATATTTGTTCATAAATGACATAAAAGTTCCATTTGATTAATGTTTTTGATTAGATTTCTTAGATCAGTTGCACCTGTGTCTAAATTTCCGGAAAACCTTTGCACCCCTGCATCGCTTTGTGTGACTATGCAAATATGCCTAGTGCATTGTTTTGGTTTTCCCCAGCAGCTGTTTAAATCTGTTAACACACAAAAACCCAGCGAACACAGTGAGAAATTAGACTCGTCAAAGAGCCAGTAAAGTGTTTCAGTGTTTTGGTTCAGGTTTATATTTATGATTAAATGCTAGATGTAATTGTTCGTAACGAGATTCGTTGAACTACATATGAACATTTACGTTAAAATGAAAAAAAAAGAAAAAAAAAAAGAAAACCTCACGCACACAAAAAAAACACTTCCTTCCCGTCACGATTTTCCTCGTTGATTTTCACCAATCAGAATGCAGCTTGATTGCTGCTCACCCAATGGGAAGCCAGGAAGCTCATACTGTCCGTGTGATTCCACAGAAGGAAGCGTTACCAAACACTTTAACAAAGTTTTAAGGTAAGTTTGAGCCGAGTTTGTCAAAGTGTTACTTCACGGTGAATCAAAGGACCTCCTAGGCAGAAACTAGGCGTGTGGGCTTCCCGAGGCTTTGGGCCGCTTCAGCGGCGTGGCTGCTCGTAGCTTTACGGTAGCTCTATCTATTCTGCGTGACATTTCTCACAGTAACCTCCATCCCTTTCAGTATAAGGTACTGACATTTTAAAACGGAATAGCTATCTTTGCGGTGTTCTGACTCAAACCAATGCAGCTGTCAAACTGTTATGAAGGTAATCAGCTAGCTCACCTGTACGTACGGGTCGCATAGCAACCACGTCCCCTAGTTTTAAGTTGGACAACAGTTATAGCTTTGACATTAAAGTTACATAGTCTATAATTTGAGTAAACTCTGGGTGTGTTTTCTGTTGTTTCTGTAAGGCTTAATTTATGATGAGTTTATAAGCTGTAATCGAAGGTTTTGTTGTTACTTTAAGCTAGGAAACATAGCAATGTAATAAAATATCCTCAGATAGCAACATTTGTTAATGTTTTTGCTTATAATTCAGTGGATCTCGAACTTTTTCTGGCTTGCCTGACTTTAGAAGTCAAAGCTAAAGCTGTAATCGTGATGTACGTATTTATTATACACTTAACTGCGACTTTATTGGATATACCTGTTCTTAACACAGATTTCTAATCAGCCAATCACATGGCCTTGTTGATGCTAGAGGCGAATGGGCAGACTGCTTTGAGCTCATAGGAAATTAACGGCAACTGAAATAACCACTAGTTACAACAAAGGTATGCAGGAGAGCATCTATGAAAACATAGCACATCCAACTTGGAAGCAAATAGGCTGCAGCTGCACAAGACCATACCAGCAGCAGAGGGCACAGCGAGTGCCACCCTAGCTACAGTTCACAGGGGCTCAACAAACCTAAACAATAGAAGATCGGGGGGGAAAAACATTGCCTGGTCTGATGAGTCTCAGTTTCTGCTCCAACATTCAGATGGTAGGGACAGAATTTGACATAAAAGCATGGATCCATGGCTCAGGCTGCTGGTGTAGGAACCATTATTTTAAGTCAGCTTCATTCCACATGTTTACCCAGGTCATCCATACTCTACTTATAGTGGAAGTGCTAGTCATATTCGATGTACAGGGGGATAAATAACTTATTCACAACTAGCCTCCTGTTGTTAATGTAACTTTGAGTTAGTTCAGATGTGCTAAATGTCGTTTTCAGAGATGAACCCCTCACACATTGCGTTGGATGTGTCTCCCTAATTAGAATGTTCTAACTTGAAACACAAGAGCCATGCTGAAGAGGGTTTTCTGATACCATGGCAGCCCAAAATTAAAAGGAATCTAAGGCTAAATTGAAAAGTAAATTGATAACTGTTTTAAAGACACTGGAAATAATGTGATCTGATCTTCTAAGTCAAAATAAGATAAAAACAAAATCTGAATAAACTGAAAACATTTTCGTGTCCTTTATGAACAGCTAGATAACAAACAGTGAAGGTGGAAAATAACAAATGAACTCTTGAAATTAGTAACCGAAACAGCCGCCTTCAGCAGCCGCGACCTCCGTCAGATGCTTCCTGTAGCAGTTTTTAGAGGCATTCATGATGAAGAGGAGGAATTTCAGATTGTGTTTGGTGTGTTATTAGTCATTGTGTGCTTTTTTCCATATAATATTTTGCTGGGAATCAATTCAGAAACCTCAGATATTCCAGAGGAGTTAAATGTTTTTTTCTTGCCCCTTAATTCATTACTTACAGTTTACAAACTGTTTATAAACTTGCCTGAGCAAAAATAGACTGCAAACAAAGTTTATGGTTAACTGAAATGGTTTTGGAAGACCTGCCAAGTTAAGGTGATCAAAAACACAAGTCACTTTTTATGCGTCTGCATGCAAAACGTGCTCCTCTTATTCATACTGACTGTAAAGAGGAGCCTTCCCAACATGTAAGGCCTCAGGTTTTCCAAACTTCTGCTGAGGAAAATTTGTCCTCTCTAACCAGCAGTTCACTGAAGAAACAAGTCAAACTGAACTTGAAACTTAAAAACACTGTAACCTTGGAAAAACCGACTTGATTTAATCACAGAATGCTGAAGCTTCGGATGATGAATGACCACGAAGGCTCTGATTTTGCCACCCACTTCTCACGAGCTGAAACCTCTGAATTTTGACAGAGTCAGTTCATTTTTATATCTCTGGATGGTCAGATCACACTGTTACTGTTAAAACTACTTTAAGGAAAGGATCTTTCGGATATGAGGAATCAATATTTCTAGCTTTAGCTGTTTTCCATCAATATTCAGTTGTGTAAATAGCACCTAGTACATCCTCTGGAAACTGGGCTTTTCTCTTTGACGAGCAAACCTCTGATCTTTGATACAGTGACTACAGATAAAGGTCGCATGCTTCACCACATCATTCATTTGTGTGAAAAAGTAATTACGCTCTCAGCCACAGAAGCTTGTGTTGTCCACCTGGTGTTTCACATTGGGTTGCAAATCTTTGACCTCTCTTCCTTCATGTCCATCAATTGAAAGATGTTTGAGGGTTTTCCTGCATGTAACAAGTGTTACCTTCACAGGAACGATAACCCTCCCTTTCCTGCCTCTGAGGTCTTCCTTTGTGGATTTGTCGGTGTGCTGAGGATTATTATCATGGGAGGAGATTTGGGGTTTAATATGTTGCCAAAGAACACCACAGCATACAGAATGGACATGCCAAGGATTTAACTACTGGTTGTTGACCACTTGAGTCACAGATGCTCCCCCCCAGGCTGACATAACCATGTAGGGATGGTCTTTTCCTGACAATAAAGACCTTTTTCTTGCATGACTCCTACACAGGTGTGGCAGACACATGCAACAGAGTTACCTTCAGACCCTGTGATCACATTTTTCAAGGTTTTTTTAGACCAAAAAAAAGAAAAAAGAAGAATTTGTGGTCATTTTAAATCTCTTGCCAGACTTGACATCAGATAAATGATATATGGCATGGCGTCACCATGTAGTTGGCATGTTTTGTTTTCCAACAGAGAGAGCTTTACTAAAAACGCTAGAAGTGTAACTTAATGCTGTGTGGTCATAAGGATATGATCATTATAGGGATGATTAAACAAATTATTAGCCCTCAGTGTCAGTTATTCTTATATTTATGTATGGATTGAAGCGAGTAGATGTTAAAAAGCTACATTTATAATTGAAAATGATCATTTGCAAACTTAGTCAGGGGGAATTATGAAATGTTTTCTGCTTATGCTTTTCAAATGTGAGGACTTTCCATTTTTACCCTTTTATGTCATCTGAATTTATTGTTCGTATTTTTTTGGACTGGACAAAATGAGCCATTTTTGAATTCGTTTGATTCATGCTTCTGAATCAAATTTTTTTTTTGTTACCCAAACAAGCTCTCCAGGGAATACTAGAGGTTGGCTTTTGGCAGCAAAGGATGAATTTTATATTTTAAGCTCCCGATGATCACTTAATCCTCATCCAGCTGCTAAACTAATCTCACAGTATACTTCCAGTGTACCAGTTGATAGGATAGCAAATAATTACATACTGCCTAAGTCGTTTCCTGTACACCTAGCCGCCAAGCATACTGTGATTCAGTAAAATGCGAGGACGTGCACCTAATCCAGCTCAGAGGTTCCTCTTTCCCTGCAGAGCGCTCCTAGTCAGGATGCATAGAGACAGCACCAGCAGGTTTCAGCGGTTCATCCAGGGCACAGGAGTCAGGGGCTGGAGTGGGGGAGGGGAGGGATGAGATTAAACATGTTTTTATGTAATGAGGGTTTCAGAAGGGAGCTGGGGTAAAAAAGGTGGAGTGAGGCCAGAAACATGGTGGATGTATTTTGGCTGCCGTGGGTCGGGCGGTTAAGTCAGCAGAGGTGATACGGTTTATTATCCCATCACTCTGAGTGAACACGATTAGAAACTGAATCTCCTGCTTCAGATAAAATGAGACGTAGAATTAATGACCACTGATCAAAAATTTAGAGCCTGAATTTGAGATGACGTACGTCTCTCACCACATGTTTTTATTACCTGCTGACGGTGGAGGAACAGTGATTTACACTGGGTTCAAACCTCCTACTGTACTGGGGCCTTTCTGTGGACTTTCATATTTCCTACATCTTCATGGGTTTCCTCTGCATGCTCCGGTTTCACCACACAGTCCAAAGACATGCGTGTTTGAGTAATAGTTGTTTTTGCCCCTTAGTCGTAAAAGGCTGATGGGGTATTTTCATTATCCTGCTGAGCGAGTGGTTGGGGGACGTGGACGCCCAAGTTTGTTGGGCGATAATGTGATAACTCGAGAACGAAGCAATGGTCTGATACAGCTGGTGTATCTATATCAAGGAAACAAAGACTGCACATGTCTCACTGCGATCCTAGTGCGCACCTGCTTGCAGTCTATTTTGTGTTCAGTTCACTTACGTTGACTGCATTGGTCTATAGACGTCAATGGCAGTGAATGAGTTAAAAATCTCAGGTGAGTTTGAATCTCATTGACCGTGATCTCAAAGTTAGAGGTCAGTTTTGAAATTGAAAGCTTGAAATTTAAACAGGTGCATCTGCTAGGAGGCTGAGCTGCTGCTGTCAGTATTTTTTTAATTATCTGTGAGTAAGTGTGGATGTCCGTCTCCAAATATTAGCCCTGTGATGGATCAATCCAGGGTTCACCTTGCCTCTTACCTTGAACCAGTTAAAAAAAAATCTATATCCAAAAATGTAGTTAAATGTTTAAATAACACAACAAAACCCAGAAACATTACATTTAAGACAAGAGAAATACGAGAAAAGGAGAAAATCCTCAAATTTAACAAACAAGCAAACCTACAAACAGGTGATAGAGTAGGGCTCACTGTCTTATTTGTTATGCTAGTGCAAGAAATTGAATATCATTCATGTAATTGAATTTAAAAAAGTAAACTTCCATGTATTCTGTATTCATTACACAAAGCATATTATTTCAAGACTTGTTTTTGATTAAATTCAGTTGATTATGGTTTGTAGCTCATGTGTGGAATATTGTAGAATATTTAATTTGGATTTCACAGTATATTTACACTCTGTTAACCACGTGGTCAAGCACAATCATTAGGAAAAATGCTGAGTTGACAGTTGTCCAGTCGATCATCAACACCCTCCTCACGGAGGATAAGCCATAGAGAGTCATTGCTGTATTGAAGCATATAAATAGAAAGTTGACTGGAAGAATGAAGAGTATTGTAAAATTTGCACCACAATGACAGAAGACTTGAGAGGATTGCAGAGGGGAAAAAAGTGGATTGAAGAACTTGAGAGAATTTCACAAGGAGTGGACAGAGCCTGGTGTCAGTGCATCAAGAGCCACCACATACAGACGTCTTCAGCCGAAAGTAAAACTTGCATTTGATTTGGAAATCAAGGTCCTGGATATGTGAGAAAGAGTGGAGAATCCAACGTGTTTGAAGTCCAGTGTGAAGTTTCCACAGTCTGTGACAATTTAGGGTGCCATTTCATCTGCTGCTGCTGGTGGTGGTCAACACAGTCGTCTACCAGGAGACTTTAGAGCACTTTATCAATCCATCTGCTAACAACCTTTATAGTGATGTCAATTTCCTTTCCCAGCACCACTTAGGACCTGTCCACAGCGATAAAACTACCACCAAATGGTTTGCTGGCAATGTTTTCACCCTGCTACATTTACCAGCCAACTCACTTGACCCTAACTCCCACCGCAAGAACTCTACAAAGTAGACGAGAAATACCCAAAACCAAAACACAGACAAGCTGAAGGCCACAATCAAAGCAACCTAGGCTTCAGTAACACCTCAGCAGTGCTACAAGCTGATCGGTTTCATGCCACTAATTACTGCACTTAGTGCAGTAATTAGTGGCAAAGGAGCTCAAACCAAGTATCAAGTGTATAAACATGCGGATGTTTCCTTTGTAAATCCTTTTTTATTCCCATTGATCTCGGCAAATATTCTACTAATCTCAGATACTTGATTTCATGAGCCGTACATTAAAATCAATGAAGTTAAAGCAAAAACAAAGCTTGAAATATTTCACTTTATATTTGATGAATATACAATATATGAAAGTGTACCTTTCTGCATTAATTGTCTCAAGTAGTGTTCAGAGAATGGCGGACAAGACTGTGGATGGAGGTCAATGGACGGGATGCGCAGTCATGTTTCTGCAGTCGCTGTGTCCCGGTGTGAACCTGCTTTCTCTCTACAAAGACCCACAGGGAAAGTTCATCATTTTCAAAGTCATCAAGCTGACACTTACAGGTGAGCCCTCGGTTAGGCATTTCTCATACTGCATGCTCATTAAAATAGAAAAAACCTCTTGTAGGGTTTACCTTGATTAATCATAGTCTTCCACTGTTAAGACTCTGCTGGAGGCCTGGGTACATTTGAGATCCTAAAGGTCCATGACGCGGATCCCTTCCTGGGGGTGGAGGTGAAGTTTGTGAATGTGGCAGCATGTCATCAGTTCCTGGAGAGCTACAGCTCTGGAGCGGTGAGACAGTATCTCTGCCAGCACGCCTGCCGGCTGCTCGCTCTGTCCCAGGAGTTAACTGTGGAAACCCAGCTCAAGGCAGGCACTCATACTCTGGATCGGTGTCTGGACAAGCTGGATCTTTGCCTACAGCACATCCACCTGTCACAGGTAAGGTTGATGTTCCTGTTAAACTGTTCTCCAGTGATTTTAAAGAGGCAAAAAGATTTTAAAAGTAGATCTCATTTCACCTCACCGTGCCTGACACTGGCCGATTTCTAATGGGATTTTTTCTTGCAAGGTAATTTAGCTGCAATGTGAAACCTTTTCACAAAGATTCACACAAGCAGGTTTGTCATAATCATACCTGTTCCTGAAAGCTAACAGCCACACTCTCTCAGTGACAGTTCAGCCTGATCACTCGTTAGAGTTCCACACAGCCAACTTTTGGGAGCAGTTGAGTTTAAGGAGAGGGAGACAAGACAAAAGACACACTGTGGAAGAGAGCCAGAGATTTAATAATAACTAATGATTAAATGCAGAGAGGTGTCAAAACATACAGTGAGTGAAAAGACACCAGAATGAGGAACACTGCATCACAGGAAGCCCCCAGCAGTCTAAACCTATTGCAACATAACTAAGAGGGCATTCAGGGATCACCTGATCCAACCCTAGCTATTTGCTTTACCAAAAAGGAAAGTTCTAACCCTAATCTTAAAAGTAGAGAGGGTTTCTGTCTCCTGAATCCAAACTGGGAGGCTGAAGGCTCTGCCTCCCATTCTACTTTTAAATACTCTGGGAATCGCAAGTAAGCCTGCTGTCTGAGAGCAAAGTGCTCTAATGCGGTACTATGAGGTCATTAACATGGGGGCTGATTATTCAAGACCTTGTATGTGAGGAGCAGGATTTTAAATTTGATTCTACCAGAGAGCCAAAGAAGAGAAGCCAATATGGGAAATATCCTCTCTCTTTCTAGTTCCTGTGAGTACTTGCTCTGCAGGATTTTGGATCCACTGAAAATGTAACCGCAAAATTTAGCATTTTGAAACAAATAATCTCCTGTTTCTGCCAAATTTAAGCCATTGCCCTTTATTGTAGTCACTATGGCCTTCGGAGAGTGTGCCCACTTTGACGTTCTCATTTATTTTTATTCTGAGTGATTTCTGCCATTTTGTGCCTTTCAGCCGGAGCGCCTGCGCGATGAGGAGATCGATGAGCTCGAGCAGCAGCTGCAGAGTCAGGCCCGCGGTCCTGCCTCACAGTCCGTCACCATCATGCAGGAAGAGTCTCCCGTTCCCAGCAACTGCTTCAAGTTTCAGAACAGAGTGTTTGGTGAGTCGAGACTGTCCTTGTTACTAGTCGTGTGTGTGGTGTGCTGTCCACAGTACATTATTTAGATATTCTCTGTAATTTAACTATCGGGGATTGTCGTTCATTTACAAATGGTGGGCTTACTGCAGTCTCCTCGTTCTCCTCATGTGTCTGCAAAAACAAATTCAAGAAGCTGACAGAACTTTGTTGATTGACTTTTTTTTTCTCGACAGCACATGAATTCAATACTATTTCAGCTGACTCCCTAATCCAGCCAGTCAGTGGGAAGAGATTAATGCCTGCAGCTAATGTGTTTGGTTTTCATACTTGGACTGATTTCATATTGGGTCAACTAAAATTTGAATTAATAAAAATGCAGGAGATTTGGTGGCTGCCAAACAACTGAAATTAAACACCCAGTGACACATTAAGGCTCTCCTGGGGTTTGTAAATTGATGTTGGTGGTCTTGATGGGAAAAAAGGAAAGTGTGAAAGTACAACAGCAGGGATTTTTGTTAATGAACTGACTGCTCTTTATTAATTGCACCTGATTTTTCAGTACTTTTGATCATGCAAGTGCACAACTTTAAAGCTGCTCTGATCAGTTTTTTCCATATGAACAATGAGATTACACAGCTCTGTGATCACAGGCTATTCGCTGACTTTGCCTGTTTGTTGTTTGGTGCTTAGCAAGTAGTGTTTGCTGCTTGAGACCAGCTGCTTGCTGAAGCAGTGAGCCAGAAAACCAAACCAGTGAACTTAAAGGTGCTAAGTGCGATGTGCATTTCAGGAGGTAGTGAAGACATAAAGCTTAAGCTAAGTTAAGATGAACTTTAGATTTGTTAGGACATTGGTCAGCTGGGTAGCACTGTTGCCTCACAGTGAGAAGTCCTGGGTTCAAATCCACCGGTCCATCTCTCCAGATAGCCTGGAGAGGTATCCTATCACTGTCCCCATCTGGCTGAAAATTACTCATTACAGCTGTTTTATAATCTTAAAGCACATGAAACGAATGAATATGCAGAATCTGCAGCTACAGCTGGCAAAAGGGCAGTGCAGTATTAAAGTATGAAAGTCCTGTCGGTGTACATTAAAATTAAACAGTGTGGGGGTGCATCCACTTGAGCTTTTTTCCAGCCGTATGCAATCGGAGCTCTATGTATGTAGAAAAGGGATTTATTAAATGTCCACAGGGAGGTCATACAAGTTCAGGGGTCTTAAACGTTTGCTGGGTGTACCACCAGCAGTGTCATGATACATGACTGGCAGATGCTCTGCCTCTCTTCTAGCCTCACAACTGGATGAGCCCTTCTTGTTGACTCTTTGCTCCTGCTTTTAAAAGTGGACCAACATGGCTAAATTTCACTTACCTAATTAGAAACATGGTTTACATGTTTCGAAAAAATCTGAAGCTTGAAAATAAATGTGGTTAATTTTACAGATGTTTACAGGAGTTTCCAGAGGTGCTGAGTGTCCCTTATGTGTGGCCCTTTATATAAAACAGCAGCCAAACTGACATCAACACTAAATGAGAAGCAAGGAATTAATAATGCATCATGTACACAAGTCCTATTGGTGTTTAAGTTTGGGTTGAAAGCTGCAGCCTTTAGCTTTTCTCATAGTCATACACTCATAGTGGGGGATGACTGGACATCAGCGGAGAATGTAACACTGCTGGTCTGAGGATTCAGGTGTGCACTTACTCCTGGAAAACTACAGCATTAGTATGAAATACTGTAGTTTTGATTATATGACTATTTAGTTTGCTGTACTAGAGTCAGGTACTATTATTTGCTTAGAGCTCCCTCCCAAGGTGCTCTCACCTGGACATTTTTAGAAAAGCATTTGGGGTTATCAGCTGAAAAGAAACACTACATCAGAAGAGTCAAATGTGTGATTGAAGCAGCCTGCTAAAGACTCTCAGTAAATTCTTTTAAAACTCAAATTTTTCGATAAATTGAAATGTGATTCTTCACGTAGTGATGCTGGGATTACTACGCGGGAGTGGAAAAGTTTGGGAAGTGAAAATGTATTTGTAGATTTTGAAAAGTTGTGACTTTCTAAATCCACAGGCTTCCCACCACCATTCAAAAAAAATGCACATTAGGTTTATTGGTGATTCTAAGTTGCCCATTGGTGTGAATGAGATTGGGAATAGTTGAGAGACAAGTGGCCTGTCCAGGGGGCACCCTGCCTCCACCCTGTGACAGCTGGGATTGGCTCCATTGTCTCTGCAGCCGTGAATTGGATAAGCAGTTAAAAAGGTGGATTGATGGACTCTGTTTATGTGGAAACATGGAGAGACGCATAGATTATTTTTGTCATCTGGTGTATAAATACATTTCTTATTAAATGAGCAGTGTTTTTTTTTTTAAAGAAAGTGCTCATTTCTGTTGTCTGGCTGTGTTTTTTTTTTTTTTTATTTAGTGGAGTGGGATGATGGGTGTCTTTCATTTAGCTTTATGGTTCCAGCTATTATTAAAATCTTGACTCTCGCTCAGGTTTTTATACCTCAGAGATGGAAACATTTGAGGAGTGTTTTTTTTATTTTATTTTTTTATATATACATTATTGTGTAATGGTTTTAGAGTTCGACTCACTGTCACCCGTGAACTAATAGGAGTTTCGACACCCCTGCCCTAAGTTCTTCTGTGAGAGCTTGCTGTTTACATCTGTTTGTAAAACACTGTTTATGTAATCGTACTTGATTGCGGTTTACATTAATGCTTTCCCTTCATCTTTATCCTGTGGCCCCGTCAGAGGACCGAATGCTCACAGCGGCAGATGTGCAGAGCTTTTCTAACGGAGTTGGCCGTCAGTGGAAGCACGTAGGGAGGGCCTTGGGGAAGAACTGCCGCGCTCTGAAGGGCCCGGCAATAGACAACCTGGCCTACGAGTACGAGAGAGAAGGGCTGTATGAGCAAGCCTATCAGCTTCTCAGCCGCTTCATCCAGGCGGAGGGGAGGGCGGCCAAGCTGAGCCGACTGGTCAAAGCACTGGAGGACTGCAAACTCACGAGCCTGGCTGAAAATATTCTGGACCCGCAGCCGCGAGAGTAACTCTGAGTCTCAGCTGTGAAAACAGAGAAGGGGGGCGGAGTCCTCTCTGTGCAAGGAACAGCAACTTTGTCCTCCCTGCTTATGTTATACACACAGTGTGTTTGTTCTTCACATCTGTCATCGACAGCATCCCGTCCTTCAAATCATCCCCCGTGTGTGCGTGCGTGTAGGAGTGTGTGTGGGAGTGTGTGCGTATATTGAATGATTCACGTCTTTGCTTTTCAATTATTAGTATTATTGATAATTGTTTTAATTTAGTTGAATGATCTGTCATCACTTTTTAAAAAATGCTGTCATGAGTTTAATGCACTGTTTAAACCGTTGTCATCATGTTTCTCCTTTTAAAGTCTATTTACAGATGGAACCTGTTGGGTCTTCTTTCTAATGAGTGCGAGACTGTTTTTTTTCTCCTACAAAATGGGTGCATTCAAATTAAATGATTGAGGAACAAAAAAAAAAAAAAGACAAAAAAACAAGCTTCATGTTTCTGTTTGATGCATTAGTGTAATTAAACCTGAAAACACCATTTTGTCAAAAGTCCCTCAGGTATAATTTAGTGTTAATCCGCCCTCCCTCTCCACCAGCGCTGGCTGTCACTCACACACGTGCACATGATTGAACTGCTGATGCTGAACGTCTGTGTGTGTGTGTGTCATTGCTTGAGTCATGATGTGGGCGCTTCAGGGCAGATCTGAGGTAGGTGTGTGTGTTTTATCTCAGCTTGGCTGTCAAAGATGGATGGAGCTTCTACAGGTTGAGCTCCTGTGCTGGTTTCATTCAGGGTCCACTGTAAAAGAGCCCCTCCCCTACTTTTTTTTTTTTTAACTTGAGCATCCATCCAGATGTGATGTGTGGATTAGACGTGTTTATCACACACACACACACACACACACACACACACACACACACACACACACACACACACACACACACACACTAATGTGATACAGACCCTTCAAATAGACATACATAGTGTCCTAAGTTAAACACACACGTCCCTGCTGCTCCAACTGCTGGTGATAGCTAGGCTGTGTCTTCAGTAATATTTTTGGGAATTTTGTGGGTTTATGGAGTACAGAGACGTTTACGCCCGCACTGACATGATGTGGCATATGTTGATTTAAGCTGACACTGATATTGTTAATACCATCAAGTGATTTAAATGATATGACTTTTAGGCCTGATGGAGGTTAAAAGATGAATTCAAGAAAACATTTAGATCATAATGATGGAGAATAAAATTCCATCCATTCGCTTCCGCTTATCCTTTTCAGGGTCGCGGGGGGCGCTGGAGCCTATCCCAGCTGTCATAGGGCGAGAGGCGGGGTACACCCGGGACAGGTTGCCGGTCTGTCGCAGAGCCAACACATAGGGACAGACAACCATTCACACTCACATTCACACCTAGTGACAATTTGAATTATCCAATTAACCTATCCCCACAAGTTGCATGTCTTTGGACGGTGGGAGGAAGCCAGAGTACCCGGAGAGAACCCACGCAAACACGGGGAGAACATGCAAACTCCGCACAGAAAGACCCCGGACTGATGGTGGAATTGAACTCAGGACCTTCTTGCTGTGCGGCAACAGTGCTAACCACCGTGGATTAATAAAATTAATCCACATAATGTTTTGTGGGTTGGGGTCAGCAGGTGAACAGGTGTGACAACAGGTCAGCCAGTTTGGATACACATGTTCTTTTTTTTTTTTGTGGAGCTAAGCCGATGGGATATGTGCGGGATGTGGTTTGGTTGTGTGTTGTCGAAATCAGCAAAGACTTACCTGAAAGAGACTTCATCTGAATGGCTGTGTATGTTTGTCCCAAACCTATAAACAGGCACATGCAAAAAGAAAGTTTTTACAGGACTCTGTCGTTCTGTGAAAAAAAGAAGTAGCTACATCCCTTCTGCTTTCCTGGGAAGCAGTTTGCTGGTCTGGAGCAATCAGTTGTCCAGGTGTGGATGTCTTCAACCTCAATTTGGAGCTTTTAAGTATTTCTTTGAACTGTTGTTTTTCCAGGGAGGAATGATTGTGTAGAATACATATTTAATAACTTACAAAACAAGAATTTGGTGCTGAGAATGAGCCACAATCATACAGATTCAAATATGTACAAACACTGACTTAAAACTTTAAATAGGTGGTGCTAAAGGTTCTACAATGTCTTAAAAACTGACAACACCACCGTTCATTCCCCTTAGTGATTATGATTAACTACAACTGGTTGTTTTTCTTTGCTGGCAAAAGGATTTGTTTAACAGCACTCATTGGACTGACCAGTACTCCAAGGAAAGACCTAGGAACTCAATGAAGCTCTAAGAAGGAGACTTGTAGATTCACACAAGTTAGGAAGGTCTCTTGGAGCCAGTTTTAAAGAACTTCAGATTGCAAGATCATCAGTTCAAACTATTGTACATAAGTACAAGTTATTCTGATATGTCCTCACTTTACCAAAATCTGGCAGAAGACTCAACCTGTCACCCTCAGATGAGAGGAAATTGTTTAGGATGTTCAGGAACAAGCTGGGAGCCACAAGGCCTGCCATGAACTGAAAACTTCTGTAACAACAGGGTCTCTGTCCACAGTGAAGCCAGTCACGGACTGAAAGGGTGCTGACCAAGAAAAAAAAGTCCATGCTCTGATCACAAGAGGTATGTTTGGAGGAGGTGAGGCTTTCACTGTAGAACACTGTTCCATCTGTCAGCATGGTGATGGCAGCATCGTGTTTTGGGGCTGTTTTGCTGCCACTGGTACTGGTACATTTCACAAAATAAATGGAATAATGAAAAAGGCGATTACCTCCAAAATGTTCAACTGCACCTCAAGGACAGCAGCTAGACAGTTGAAACTTGGACACAATTGATAAAGCAGGCTAGCATTAAATTTCTGGAATAGTTTTTCCAAAGCCTTGACCTCAACCCTACTTAAAATTTGTGGATTATGCTGAAAACTCAGGTCCATACCAGGACACCATATTAATTCAAATGAACTCTACCAATTCTGCTAAGGATAATGGCTGAGTATACAGACAGAATTATGCCAAAAGTTTGTTGTTGGCTACTAAAAGCGTCTGGTTGCAACTTGCTAAGAGACATTAAAGCAATTATTGGGGTGTATATTCGCCAAATTAGTGTTTTAAAGTCATTAAAGATGTATCCTGTACAATTACTCCACCCTAGAAAAAGAACAGTTACAAAAACAGTAATTAAAAGCCCCATATTACAGTGACATTTGTACCTATGATGAGTGGATGTAAACTTTTGACCACTTCCCTGTTTCTGAGAGGTTTTTTTTGTACCTTTCACCACATTAATTTGGGAATTTTTGTTCTTCACATTTTTCCTCATGAAGCTTTTAATGAGCTTAAGATCTTAAATGTAATATTTAAAAAACTTAAAGTGTTATATTTGCATTCGTAAACAGTTGTTTATGCTAGTGGTTATATGAGTGACTGCGATTGTGCTGCTTTACACCGTTACAGTTACCCAACGGCAGACGTTATATAGCATACCTGTGCATAGGATACACGGAATTTGTATTTAACTCCTAAAACGTTATTTAAAAATCACTGTAGTACTTTTACACAGTAAACTCGCTCGCCGGGATCACAAGGTCAGGCCTATTTATGCTGTTAACATAATCGCACGTCATGCTTGTCCCAGGGAATAGACGGTGACCGCGCTGGGGCATTTTAACGTTCCCACCGCTGCACGATTTCCACTGATGCCACGAGACACGGGGGCGACGTTTGCCATTTAAACGGCTCTTTCGTTTGAATAATCTTTCATCGGACGTGATTAGAGCTCGGCTGCTCTGACGTCAGCCAGATTGTCCGCGTTAGGTGAGTCTCGCGCAGCTTTCCCTCCTCCTCCTCCCCTCCCTCATCCTCTAGCGCCCCTCCTGCCTGCTTTCGTGAAAAAAAAAAAAGATACGATGAAATCGCTCGCGCTCGCTGCCATCATCACCATCAGCGCCGCCCTGTAGAGCGAGAGAAAAAGAGAGAGAGCGCGCGCTCGAGACCCCCCCTCCCCACCTAACAACAACCCCAACCCCGCAGGCTCGAGCACAACGACCCCACCTCCCACCCCCCTTCTCAACCCCCTCTGATAGAGGGGACGGAGCCAGAGACTCACAGTCACGGAGAAAAGACCTTTTCGGGATCCCGGCTCCGTTTCGCCCTCAATCCGGGCCTAATGCTCTAGCAGACCGCGCGGGAGGAGAGCGCGAGCGAGACAACGCAGTGACAGAGAGTCGGCGAGGGACAGGGCGGACCGGGGAGACGACGGGATTGCTCATTCGCCTGGAAACATGGGATGTACGCTGAGCGCCGAGGAGCGCGCCGCTCTGGACCGGAGCAAGGCCATCGAGAAAAACCTGAAAGAGGACGGGATGGTCGCCGCAAAGGACGTCAAACTCCTCCTGCTCGGTAAGATCAGAGCCGCCCTGGCCGCGGGGCTTCGTCTCCTCGGCTCGGTCTACCTCTTTTGGTGGGACTGCATGGGGCGGAGGTGCTCTCCGTGGTACTGATTTCTTTGCCGGCTCTCACTCTTGCCCTCCTCCCCTCTTTACAGGCGGCGGAGAGTCCGGCAAAAGCACCATCGTCAAGCAGATGAAGTAAGTGTCCGTTAATTTTAATTTTTTCGGGGCCTTATTCCGACCCTCTTACACACATCGAGAGTGAAAGGCCTGAGATTGCGCCTGCCTCCCCTATATGGGCTAAGGCAGGTTGAGCCGCCATGTTTCGAGATGCCGTATAGCCCAGGAGGAGTGCCGGTGACTCGAGCACCTCCTGTAGACCGACAGTGAGGCTGCGGAGGCCACACCGGTGCGTCCCAGGGTGCTGTTCACCGCCGGGGTGCTGAAATGTAGTTAACGAGGCTTTGGCTTGACTACAGGGAGTGTGCGACTGGGGAGGTGTGGGTGTTGTTTCTCCGTATGCGAGTGTTTGTGCGTGCGCGCGCGCGCGTGTGTGAATTACAGTGAGGACTACAGGTCCATTAGTGAATACCTCTGCTTTTAATCTTAATGGCTTTAAGTGCCCGATATCGCCGGGAGTACTTTGCCCATAAAGCCGATTTACGCAGAAATATGGCTTCTAAAACAGCATCTAAACCTCCCCCTGTCTGAGCTAAATCACTCTTTGATGTTTTAAATCACAGTTGTCATCTCCTCTAACCCTCTTAGCTAAGTTTGTCGATGTTTTAGCATGAAAAAGCCATGCTGTTCTGCTTATTCTGTCCTGTGAAACATCTCTGTCTCCTTCCTGCAACTGCACCGACTGCGCCCTCCCTCTATGCCTCTTCCCTTCACCTCATTACCCTCCTTGCGGTCTCTGATTGCCCATAACTCACCACTCTTCCCTGAACTCCACACACTGGGCCAGATAGTGTTTACAAACACTTTCAGAGCTTCCTTCAGCCCAAGCAAGCAGCAGATGGATGGGTTTTTACTACACACACACACACACACACATCATGAGTAATAAAGTTTAGGTATTGGAGAGTTCAGGTTGCATGCCCTTATTTT